GTGTGTGTGTGTGTGTGTGTGTGTGTGTGTTGCTGTTTTTACTGAGTGTGTGGGGTGCCCTCCTTCTTGGGTTCATTTTTAAAATCGTTGTTTAGTTAACTGCTGTGTATTTATTTTGGTAAACCTATTTATTTTGATTTAAATGAAAAAAAATCATTTTTTAATTTAAATCGTCAAAATATTCTGATTTTTAAAATTTAAATCATGGTTTAAATCACAATTTAAATCAAATCCACCTCATCTAACATCTTTACAAATGAAATACCAAATACCGAATATTTTATTTCTTTATAGCCAATTAGGCTATACACATAAAGAGAAATTAAACCACTCCTTCAAAATAGTATTTTTTTAAATACATATAAACAACCAGAAAAAGAATAAAATAATAAAATAAACATTTTCAAACAAGTATCAAGTTGTGAGATAAACTTGAGTTCCGTCTTTGCATGGCTCATGTATCAGTCCTATATATATAATAATCTGTGCCAGCTAGCAGAACTAAAGCTGTGCAAAAATGGGAACTGTTCTTGATCCCAGTTGTTAAAGGTTTAAAATACTGATCTGTCAAATCTGCACACAGAGGGCATTCTGTTAGAAAGTGCACCATGTTTTCCATCTTAGAGCATCCTGCTGGGCATTATCTACGTGTACCATGTTGGTCCATATAATGTCTCTTTATCTTCTTCAACTCCAGTGATTTCAACCTGCATTTAGTTAGCAGTTGCCTCAGCTCCTATGAGCTAATAAGGGATAAATATGGGGGCAACTTTTCAAAAGCCAGGGAAAAGCCTTTGCATATCCTATTGGAGTGGCAGCTAGCTACAAATGCCACGGTCATCTGGATATCAATACTGTATAATCTCTTCATATCTTCTTGGGCAGCCTCATACCTCCTCCTATAGAAGTAGGCTGGAGAGTAAACCAGCTTAGATATAATTGTGGGTATCTTAGCAGCCCAAGAGTCCTTTCCCATTTCTTCACAGGCCAATGAAACCAACAGTGAGGCCATATGGCACACTATCTTGAGCCAGAACAGCACAGCTGCTTTCTTAGCAGGAATACTCATGAACAGCACAATGTCTGAGAACGGACTATGTCCATGGAGGTTGCAAATGAAGTATATTTCATTGTTCTATTTCTTGATCTATTTGTGAGAGAATCCACTCACACACACTGGAGGAACAAAAGAAAATGTAATCCATCTATTTTTCATCAATATAAGATAAATGATCTCTGATTTTAGTTTGTAGAATACAATTACTCACTAGGTGTTTATAACAAGGTATCTGATATACTAATCTTCAGTCTCTTTCTTTGGGGAAATTAGATGCTCCACTTAACTATCCCAATAGAGTTCACACAGAGAAATGGCAATTATAATGAGGCACCTAAAGAAAACTTTAATTATTAATTTGAAAGTTATCAACAATCTCATGCTATTTTAAGAGTGGAAAAAACACTTTACCTTATATAGTTTGAAAATACTGCATGGTTCAAATGCTTTACTGGTAACCTCTTCCACCCCTTCTATTAAGGCTTATTCCAATGCTACACTTAAAATTCTTCACAAATGATAGGCCTTTGTGTACTACTTAACAGCTCACCAGAACACATACAGACAGGAAAAAGGCAAGTTTTCTTATTTGTCAGATTTCTAGGCAGCTCTAAGGAATCTACACTTTGCCCTGTATTACACTGAACAATCAACCTGATGCTCATTGTAATGATTGCACTACAATTAATTTACTCGTCTTCGGTTGTACTAATGTCTGTTTCTTCTTATGCACTGCAATATGGATAACCACATATAGCTTGACTTTCTTTAATCACATAGCTACAGTAAATTGAAGAACAATTAGGACTACAGAATAATCCAAGCTAATTTTTCCACAACTATTTATTGACTTGCATTTCTGGTGGTTCACTTATGAGGCATAAAATCATACTACTGTATCTCTTATCGAACAAGCGCCACCAATTGTGTATTTATTTAGCTACAAACCTTTTTGTACAAACAGCTAGACATTTTACATACCCGAAGTGCCACTAACCGGTACGCTTTGGTTTCTGATCAACACTACAGCCAAACATCACACTCCCAATGCATATGCACCCAATTTGAAACGAGGCCATTTCGTCTTTGCTGCTTGTACGGAATACCCCCCTACGGCACCTTGAAAGGCCGTTTTCATAATTTGAGAGAAGTGATGAAGCGACCTCGTTTGGAGGAGAGAACAGATGGGGCCGAAAACAATTAGTAACGGAGGGAGGCATCGAAGGGAAGGACTCAAAAGAGGGCGCAACTGGAAGAATACTGGAAGAAAGATAAACGGGTGGGCAAGGGCAAGAAACCTGGAAGGAGCGGGGAATGCCGAGAGCTGGCTGGTCCCCATCCCTATGGGCTTGACCCCCTACCCTCCGACGGGGCGGCTCCTCTCTTCCGCCGCCGCCCCCCACCCCGGGCTTTTCCCTGGAGGCAGCCAGCGCCACCTGCGCGCTGATGCGAGACGAGGCGGTACCTACCCAGCAGCAGCAGGCGGTGCGTTTGCTTGTATTCGCGCTTCTGCTCCTTGAGCACCCGGTCGATGCTCTTGCTGACTCGCCTCGCCTCCTTCTCCGCCTCCCGCTCCTCCAAGCGCACCTTCTCCCACGGCCTCTGCAAGGCCAGCGTCTGGGGCTTGGCGATGGAGCCAGCGCCTGGCTTGGCCTGAGCAGGCGGCCGTTCGCTCTCTTTCTCCCGGGGAGCCGCCCCATTTCCCCCTCCGTTCTGCAGGAGCACCAGCGGCCCGTCTCCCGCCGAGTCCCCCCTGCGTGGCTTGCCGCCGGCGCCTTCCCCCTCGCCGCCGCTGCCTCTTTTCCCCGCGCTGCCTCCTCTTCCTCCCCTGGCCTGGACTCCGAAGAGCGGCGGCGCCCGGGTCAAGGGCTCGGCTGTGGGCGGTGGCGGCGACGGCTGTGGCTCCGTCTCGGAGGCGGTGGCGGTGGTGCTGGAGAGGGAGCCGCCGCCGCCGCTGCTGCCGCCTCCTCCTCCTGTGCCGGCTTCGCCGAAGAGCCGCGGACGCAGGCTGTAGCACAGCCCCATGTCTGGCTGTCCCTCCAGGGGATGGACGAGCAGGGCGCGCCTCTGGGCTGGCGGCGGGGAAGGCGGGAGGAATTCACCGCTCGCCGTGGTTCCCGCTCGTCAGGGCCGCGGAGGGCGCGCCGAGCAGCCGCTCCTCACAGTCCCGCTGCCGCCGGCAGGCCATTTTGCATTTTCCTCCCCTCTCCTCCGTCCTCCTCCTTGTCCTCCGGGCTTGGCGGCGGCGGCGGCAGCAGCTGCGGCTTCGGTTGGGCGGCAGCGGCTCCTCGCCTCAGATCACCTGACACAGACCCGCCACCCCGGCCGAGTCCACCTTACCGTAAATACTTCAGCGCAAGCCCACCGCGCAGCTCGCGGTGGAGAAGAACCCAAGGCGCGGAGACGCACGCGTGTGTATGTGTGTGTAGTTCAGCCCCAACCCCGCAGACACACACGAGCAGAGAGTTCTCTTTCAGTCCCTTTGGTCGGGCAGGGTTCCGCCTCACACCCGCAGATGGTATTGCTTGGGGCGCAGTTGTCCTTTAGAAAGCCTTTCCGTGACACCCAACGCAGCGACAACCCGGTCTTTTCCTATTACTGTATATGCAGACGCCCCCTCCACCTTCACAAATATAGTCATTCTGATGCAAACTCCTTCACATGCTATGGCCTTTCCTCGGCTGACAAACCAAATCCCTTTCTAATGCCACATACTATAACTTCTTTACAGTGAGCACTTCATTTTCAGCCCACTACATTTTGTTTTGACTTGTTTATTCTTGCTGTCACGGTGGTCACCACCACCCATGATGACTATCAGTGACACGCATCATACACAACAGAGTGAAATGGTTGAGTGAAGACAATGACAGGTACAGAAGTCATTCTGGACAATGAGCATTAACATTTTGAATGTGATGACAAGCCCCTGAATGGGCTTATCAAATGGCACTGTGGAACAGTAGTTATGGTAGGTAGGGACATGGGAGTATCCTGTAACATTTTAGCTATTGGCTGTCACTTTAGACTGAAATCTCTTTTATCAATGCTTTTTTTGCAATGTGGGACAGTCAGAAATGATAACCAAGTAGCATTTAACTGATCACCTGTGACACTGATGTGCCTGATCTATATACTGTACTGTAACTACTGCTACAATTACAAAACACAAGTTCCTGTTCTTTTATTTTGGTTGCTGCATAATTTATTTTCCTTTGAAGGAAATTCATACCCACATCAAGTTTCCTCTCTGAAAAGGGCCACACAAGTATTTACACTCACTCAGCAAAGATGATTTTTTGTGCCAAACTACCCGAAGTTTCTTCTTTTCCCAAATAGGAGAAAGCCCAGAACAACTTGAAAGAAGCTGTGATGGATGGCACCGGTTTGAAAGATAAAATGAAGGCAGATACTTGTTTCTTCATTGGTCTATCATCACAGAGCAGGCTTATTAGTGTGTTCTTACCTACATTCAGACAAACATTCAAATGTGAAAATAAAGGACTTTGGTCTTAATTTTCCTTAGGGCTTTCTACTCTAGAACGTTTATTTGTGGCAAAACATTATATTCTAATGTTAAATACAGGTTTAATTTAATGTCAGCACTGAATCTCCATTAATCTTGAAGCAGCATGTTTCAGTTACAATAATTAAACGTGAATAATATGCTGTCAAATCAATTCCAACTCATGGCTACTCTTTCAGGGCTTTTCAGTTAAAAAGTAGTCAGGCATGGTTTACCAGTGCCTCCTGCTGGTGCTGTTAGCCCATACAACTTGCCTAAGGCTGTACAGGTGGCAGGCATGTAACCTCATCAGCCACCAATCACTCCAGGTGATCTTAGGTGGCCTGTCACAGTAAGGATCCACTGGACTATATTAGCACAAAATTACAATCCTTCATTTGTTTTGGGAAGGTCTGAATGGAATATACCAGTGCTCTTACTTGTAAGGGATCTACAATACTGTATATGACCAGTGTTTTCTGAGATGATGATGATACAGTTCTTATTAATCCAAAGACAGAAATGAAAATAAAGGTCAGACTACACTTGTGTAAAAAAAATCACATTAAGTCTTGGTAGCAAATTGCTCCTCATTAACAATGTACTGGTTCTTGGGTGCACATCCAATTGTGCGATCACACCCAGGAACACAACTAGCACTTTGTTGTCAAGAATGAGCAGCAATTTGTTGTCAAGAATGACATGATTAGCAGTAGGGTTCTAGCCTCTGCCTTGTCCTGATTTAAGATAGAAAAAATATTAATGTACAGTACATGAGCAATCCCCTCTCCTTTTAAAATGATCATTATCTTACACGAATTGACATTTCACAGAAGTATTCTCGAAGGCTTTCATGGCCGGGATCTGATGGTCGTTGTGGGTTTTTCGGGCTCTTTGGCTGTGTTCTGAAGGTTGTTCTGAACCTTCCTAATACTTCACCAGTCTCTGTGGCTGGCATCTTCAGAGGACTGGATTCAGAACTCTGATTACTTAATTTTCCAGAAGGCAGAAGGAGTAACAAAAGATTCAGCTGTTCTGAATCTGGTCCTAACAAGTAACTGTTCACTCAGGGTTGATTTCTTTAAAATGGATAGGTTTGTTCTCCTTGCAGTACAGGGGACTCTCAAGAGCCTCCTCCAGCACCACAATTCAAAAAGCATCAATTCTTTGGCGGTCAGCCTTCTTTATGGTCCAGGTCTCGCTTCCGTACATCACTATTGGAAAAACCATAACGCTGACTATGCGGACTTTTGTCGGCAAGGTGATGTATCTGCTTTTTAAGATGCTATTGAGATTTGTCATTGCTTTCCTCCCAAGAAGCAGGC